CATGTTGTCTTACTCAAGCTGTATAGGCCTCGAAAGCCTACTACCAATTAAGTATATTAGGTGATGTGCATCTCTGTAATGAGAAGGGGTGTGGTCTAATGACATCAACACCCTATATCAGGTGTGTATAATTATTAGGCAACTTCCCTTTCCCTTTGGCAAATGTGGGTCAAAAGAAGGACTTGACAGGCCTGTGAAAAAGTCAAAATAGGAGATATCTTGTGAGGGATGCAGCATCTTAAAATTGCAGCTTCTTAGCTGCGGATCACCTAACAACTGCCGCTTATCCAAAATAGTCAACAGGGTCGCAAGAAGCGTGGAAAACCAAGGCGAAAAATAATCCGCCCATGAACTGGAGAAAAGTCAAGCCGCGTAGCCGCCACTTACGCTACTCTGTTGAATTCAGTTTGGCCATATTTCAGAGCTGCAACATCACTGGAGTGCCCAAAAGCACAAGGTGTGCAATACTCAGAGACATGGCCAAGGTAAGAAAGGCTGAAAGTGATCTACCTCACCACTGAACAAGACACACACGTAAGCTGAAACGGCCAAGACTGGGCCAAGAAATATCTCAAGACTGATTTTTCTAAGGTTTTATGGACTGATGAAATGAGAGTGAGTCTTGATGGGCCAGATGGATGGGCCCGTGGCTGGATTGGTAAAGGGCAGAGAGCTGCAGTCCGACTCAGACGCCAGCAAGGTGGAGGCGGAGTACTGGTTTGAGCTGGTATCATCAAAGATGAGCTTGTGGGGCCTTTTCGGGTTGAGGATGGAGTCAAGCTCAACTCCCAGTCCTACTGCCAGTTCCTGAAAGACACCTTCTTCAAGCAGTGGTACAGGAAGAAGTCTGCATCCTTCAAGAAAAACATGATTTTCATGCAGGACAATGCTCCATCACACGCATCCAAGTACTCCACAGCGTGGCTGGCAAGAAAGGGTATAAAGGAAGAAAATCTAATGACATGGCCTCCTTGTTCACCTGATCTGAACCCCATTGAGAACCTGTGGTCCATCATCAAATGTGAGATTTACAAGGAGGAAAACAGTACACCTCTCTGAACAGTGTCTGGGAGGCTGTGGTTGCTGCTGCACGCAATGTTGATGGTGAACAGATCAAAACACTGACAGAATCCATGGATGGCAGGATTTTGAGTGTCCTTGCAAAGAAAGGTGGCTATATTGGTCACTGATTTGTTTTTGTTTTGTTTTTTGAATGTCAGAAATGTATATTTGTGAATGTTGAGATGTTATATTGGTTTCACTGGTAATAATAAATAATTGAAATGGGTATATATTTGTTTTTGTTAAGTTGCCTAATAATTATGCACAGTAATAGTCACCTGCACACACAGATATCCCCCTAACATAGCTAAAACTAAAAACAAACTAAAACCTACTTCCAAAAATATTCAGCTTTGATATTAATGAGTTTTTTGGGTTCATTGAGAACATGGTTGTTGTTCAATAATAAAATTAATCCTCAAAAATACAACTTGCCTAATAATTCTGCACTCCCTGTATATATAATTTTTTTAAAATATTTTTATTTATATATAGGTATATTTATAGTGATATATACATATATATTTATGTATATAGATATATATATTATTTCATTCTACATGTATTTTGATATAAATATATATATATTAATATCACAATACAGTTAGAATGAAATAACACACATCTATATATCTATATATCTATATATTTTTAATTATTTATTTTTAATTATTTTTTTAATTTTAATTTTATTTTTTAACGTATTTACATATTTAATTTTTTTATATTATATATAAATATATATATAGCAATAATTATATATATATTTAATCAATATCAGTCTACGTGTAATTTGATATTACTATATATATATAATTATATATATATATATTAATAGTAAAATACACCTAGACAGTGTATGTGTGTGTATGTATATGTGTATATATATATATATACTTAGATCATGTATATATAATATATATATATATATGATCTAAGTATATATATATTTATTTATTTTTTACACTTTTTAACTTTTATTTGATTTTATTTCCAGCCAGCAGGGGGACTACCTGGCAATGCAGGAGGCAGCTATCCCGCCCATGTGATTGTGAGGTCCTCGCAAGAACCTCACTCTAACGTGGCCGGGGGGCTGCCAGGAGGAAGATCTGCTGCGGGGGGCTCCCTGGGAGTCCCCCCAACCGCGATCACCGGTGTGGGACCGCCGGCGACCGGGTAAGTAATGAAAGACCGGAGGGCGTACTATTACGCCTGGCGGCGTTTAGAGCCGCCTAAAATAGGGCGTAATAGTACGCCCTCCGGTCTGAGGGGGTTAAAACCCCAATACTCCTCTGAGGAGCATTGGATTGAACCATGCCGGTGGGGGCCATGCCTCCTAGATGATGTCATGGGAGAAGGAGATGTGAACAGCACTGAGGAAACCTCTGTGTGCTAAAATGGTGAGACAAACAGTTTTTGTTTTGGTTGCCAAATGGGGGGTGGCATACTATAGCATTCTATTACTTACGCTATGTGTTTCTTTAACCCTGCAATGTAAACATTACAGTTTCTGTAATGTTACAATGAATGCTCATGGACATGGGCATCAAATTCCTGGGCTAAACTCTCTAAGCAGGGATTTACTCTGCTTACTAAATAGAAATTCCTCCACTGAATTATGTTTGAAAAATGCTAGGTCTGAATTTCAGTCAGACCAAACGCTGCCGAATATCTGAAATCCAGACCCAGTTGCTTAAATCTACCACACATGGAGACATTCGGTCCCCCCACCATGTTATAATAGTCCTTGCAATCATAGGTGGGTGCAAGGGTTACATTATTTAACATGTTTCAAGGATACATTAATATGTTGGATCCATTATGATATATATATATAAAATGAACAAAATCATCTGTCAGGTTAATTAAATAGATGATAAACACATGTAACATTACGTTATGTCGGGTTTCATGTTTATGTTGAGGGCTTACAGGATATGCCTGTTTTCACATACCTAATATTCTGACATGATGCATAATTTATAGGAATATTTATGTGTAAGGTATCCAATTACTAACTGAAAATGCCATCAAAACCATGATATGGGCACAATGAAAGGCAGAACCAGTTCAACTCTGTATGTTTCATGATTTATAAAAGGAACACTTAAAAATGTGTTTTAATGCGATTATAGTGTTCCTTTAAGCTTAACAGTGCCATGCCTATCCCACCCCCCATAATTAAAATGATGAGAACTTACCTTTTTATTCGAGTCCCTTTTCGTCACTGCTCAATTCCACCTCACGGAGACAGTCAGTCACAACAGTCCAAAATTGGCACATATGTGGTGATTGCTCCAATCAAGATGGGCAATCATCACATAGCATGCATCTCATACAGAAGCATTATTGACAAATGCTTCCCTATGTAAGCTTTTCATATCCACTTAATAATCTTTCAGGTGGATCAGGAATCAGGAAGCATTGTTGGCTATCAGTTTGACTCCAACGGGTATGTTCCCAAAGTGACCTTATTCAATTAATAAATGTGCCAATTTCTTTGGAAATAAACACTTTTCTGAATGTTGACAACGGGGACATGCAGATAACACCTAGAGCACTTCAGCATGAATTTGAAGAGCCCATTTAAGCAGGGTTATCAGATCCACTCTATATTTAGGCATGCATATCACATATACATATACATATTAATGGGCAGCACATGATTAGGGTTGCCCTATAGTATGTAGAATTTTAAAAAATTATAATATTAAGTAAATAGGCAATGAAGAATCCTACAGAATATGCATTATACATACTACGGGGCATTTCATGCATTTTCATAAATATGACAAATTTATAGGTGTTCCCAAAAACATGGTGGATCTGGTATCCCTGTAGCACCTGTTCATTTAAACATGCCTGACATCCTATATAATGCATTACAGAATGTATAGTAATGTTGAAATGTGTGCTGCTGTTGGACATGTCTTTGCCCCATGTCACAGTATTTTAAATTCTGATTATATCTTATAGTGCCATGTTTATATATCCATCAGCTTCAAGTTAGAAAAAACACACCTTTTCATTTATTAGAAGTGGTAATGAATCATCAGTGCCTGTTCCGTTGTTAAGCAAAATGTTGAGAGAACTGAGGTTGCCAAGTGAAGATTTGAAGACTTCCATTTTGAAGACTAGTGATTTCTGGATCCAACCCTGCAGTGGTTTTCTCATTCTGCATCTATTAATCTTCTGGACCCTGAGCTAGACAATCCCAAAGAAATGTGTAGACTTGGGAGAATAAAATCATGTTTCTAAGGAGGATTGATGCTGGCCAGTGTTGCTTCCTTTAGGAAGAAATAGAACCAAAAAGTCATGAAGCTATGGAAAGTAATCTGAGATACCCAGGTGGTTTTGCTTTCTGGCACTAGGACGTCATACAGTATTAGAACTCATGTAGCCAGTAGTCAGTTATTTTCCCTGGCGGATTCTTGAATTTATTTATGTATTTATTTATTATATATTTTACCAGGAATGGTACATTGAGATTTCTCTCATTTTAAGTATGTCTTGGGTCCACAAAACATTGCATTGTTAACAAAACATGCTACGTGTACATTTTAGAAGTGGCAGTTTCTGGAGCCAACAAAGGGATTTCCCATGTCTCTGTATCACAAATGGAGCTCTGCATAATCCCTGATGCAGAAATCACACATACGTGGAAAATAATCATTGTCTTCAGCTATTGAAACCAGATGACCCTTCAATCTGTAACACCTCCTGATAAGGTATCTGCTGTCTAGGTCATCTAGTATCCATATGACAGTCAACTAGAAATGACCACCATCGAAACAGCTCCACTGCTTACCAGCAATCAAGACTTCAGGTTTAGAAAAAAAATCAAAACAAACTATAAAAATGCTAATAGAAAGATGGAAAACAAGAAGAACAAGATAAAACAAACACTCCATTGAAAGTTTATAAGCTGTAATATAAACTAATGCATCATAAAGCCTGCTATATATTTATCTATTCCCTCTTTTTCTAGTACTGTTTCTGAGTTTGTTTGTGATGGTAATTAAATTGGAAATATCTTGTGTAAATATTGCCTTTGAGAGTAATATTTATAACATCAAACGACCCACCACTGATATATGCAGTAACTTTAATGATAATAATCATACTCTGGTTAATAAATAAATAGACCCTTTGTCATTGAAACAATACCCTGTACGTATTTATTCTCTTCTCATCTATAGATTTAACACTCAAGCCTTTGAGAGTTTTTTTCTCTCAGCCTTGTGGAACATCTTACACCATTTAGGTATATTTATTTTAACATAATTGACACACTTGGCAGTTCATATGAACTTGTGCAATAATCTAATAAGAATGAAGAATAGAAAGGAGAGTAGATAAAGAAACCGCCTTTCAGTGGGGAGCTATGTAAACATTACCTCCTCTGTCTGATACATTACATAAAGGAACATTCTCAGTGGTAATGTGTAAGGACATGTAGTGAGATTGGGTGGGGACCCAGGTAACCTTCTGTTTTATGTGGAGCTGGCTGTCCCGCATTTCATAGTATCAAAGAGAAATGTAACAGTATAGACTTTTTAACTGTTCATCCCGGGGGTACTTGAAATGCAATTGTTTCTAAAGAGTCAAAACTTGAAGCATTTTTCTTTCTGTAGGTTTAAAGGTACACTCACACTTGCACAAAATGTACATTCGTAGAGGCACATGGTGCAGAATGGTAAGCAGTATTATAAAATCTCTGTTAATGTAATGAGCGGGCAGAGAGTTTGCTATTGCATCACGGCAAGTGTACCATCACATTAGGGCTTAAACTATAGGCATCTCATCTAAGGACTGCATGGTCTGTTAGGTGGTGGAAGAATCAAATACAAAGAGAATTGACCCATGAAAAGTGATTTGGGTTCAGTTTGGGCACCGTCACTGGTCATGTTAGCATATAATATGAACTCTAATAGACATTTTAATAGATGTTATACATACAGAGTACATAGAGTAAACACACTGTGCTGTCACATCTGATTGAAACTGAAACATTTTTCCATGTAGGCTGAGAGTCACAGCCAGGGGGTGTGTGGCTATAGCTGCATAAACAAAGTGATTAAACTCCCAAATAGCTAAGAATTGAACAGCTTACAGGGTGATGATCTATACACTAAAACTGCTTCACTAGCCTAAAGTTATTTTGGTGCTTAGAGTATCCCTTTAACTTGAAACAATATTGAAATATATTGTATGATACATGACAGCTACAGAATAGCCAAGTGATAAAATAAGAACAGGAACTGGCACAAACACTTTGAAAAAGTATTTGAGTATTTTAATATTTGTATTTAAAATAAAATATTTATTCCCTTTTAACACCATTCTGAACCCTCCTGGAAGTTTTTAAAGAAGGTTTTATCAAATGGAAAACTTCAGCTATATCCTTGGTGGGGATTATACCACCTATGCGATTGGGATTGAGCAAAAAAACTTTATTTGCTCCCCTTTTGTGAGTGCCTCTTATTGTATTTATTTTTAAGTTTGATTTTATATCAGTGAGCACTATTTGCTGTTTTATTTTTTCCATACAAAGCTACAACGTTGACCCACTGCTTTCACGTTTGGAGATACACACAATTTCTACTGTGTTCAGATACAGATACAACATCTGCCAAGACTCTACAGGACCACCGCATCCACAGGATGGGATTGTACCGCCCAGGCGCTACCATCTAGAGCTGATATATAGCTCCTGAAAATTGTAAGTGTGTTCTTATACTCCTTTCACCAACTGTCAGAAGATACTACACTATAGTCCAACACTGCTGCAGAAGAAGAATTACTCAAAAACTTTATCATTTGAGATTTTCATTAAATACATGGAAACCACCAGAATGCGTAACAGGGCAAAGCAGGGAATTCTATAAAACTGACACATCAGATATCTTGTGAGAGCTGTTGATAGGAGTGGAAACATGGAACACGTTGTTGGCAGAGCAACCAAAGTGATTTGTAATTGCTCAGTTGAGATGGTATCTAATGTGACAATGGGGTTGGTATCATAAAAATATTTGAGCTATTTTTGACAGGCCTTGATGTACAGCACTACGGAATGTGATGGCGCTATATAAATAATAAAATAATAATAATGTAATATTTTTGGATAAGTTTTTCACACAATTGGATATTTATGGATAAAATAAACTTTTCTAATTATTAAAATATATATTTAAAAAAATCACATATATAAAAATATATCAATATATCAAAAATATTAATCAATGTTTTTCAAAATATTAATTCATATTATAAGTCTATCCATAAATATGAAACTTTTGAAAAGTATATATATATATATATATATCCAAAATACAAAATCCAGTGCACTCGCTTATTCACTAAACAATGATTTCAAATCTTAGAGATTGTAATAGTTTTATTTAAAAACACCTCACCTAGGCAAAAAATAATAGGGGTTTAGTTACATTATATGATCATATATTGCATAAACCTGCCACAACGTCAATGTACCCCATTCTTGGCAGGTCCCACTCTGACAGCCTAATGCTTGAGATTACTGTATATAAAAGTATAGTATAAAAAAATATAAAATCAAGGCTGCAATTACAGGATAGAGAAAAACATGTATCTGAGTGTCATCAGCATTTATACTCAGGCAACTGATCTAATATTTGTATGTACTTTTTGGATAGATTACACGAAGCAATCAAAGCAATCTTGTACTACATAAACAGGATCTTCTGTACAACTGTGATAAAATTATATGGTTAATAAAGATACATTGAAACTCTCAAGCAACACTGGATGTGTCTGCTTCCTTGGGCTGTCTGCTGAATATTACAAAGAGGTATACCAGGACACAAGATAACCACATGGTAAAGCAAGTCACTGTGCCAGGGGCATAATATTTAGGTATATTCGAAATAAAATACACTGTGGAAATAGGGTGTGACAGAACCATCTGTCTATTTATTGCGGTGGATTCGTCTGCTTCTGCCCCGTTCATGTAAATGGCTGTTTCCTATAGCCCAGCCATACGAATGACTGTTTTTCCCGAACAAACCTACCGAACGGATGGCCACCCAGGAGAGAAGTGTGCTGCTGGTTAACCTATTGATCCCAATTAGAACGTTGTGGTTAACCGCAGACACTTCTCAATTAAACCGAATTCAGGGTGGTCGTCGTTCGTATGTTGACCACGAGGCAGCGGGCATTTTAAACCACGCAAAAGCCCAGCGGTGTTCAGCTCTATTTTCATGGAACTAAAAACTGACACTTTTTCTGCCGAACACCGCTGAAACAACGGAACGCCTGGCTGCCTCCACGAAAGCGTACGAACACCGGCCGTTCGGGAGTTTTACAACACACGAAAGGACTTAACCCAGATAGCCTTCCCATGGAGTCATTCGTATACCGAAAGACTGTAAGAACTTTGACTCCATGGTGATTGAACTGTGTGTGTGGGATCTGAGCGCTATTCGCTAATAATATGCACTCAGATCCAGGCTATCTGGGAATATGTGATGCAAATGGGAAATGTTCGGTTATTTTAAAGTTATATATATTTATGTATTTTCTAGTATTATATTTAAGATGGCGATTGTCTTTGTCCTGGAGATAATTGAATTACTTCTCAATTATCTCCAGGGCAGAGGGGAGGAAACCATAGTGCATTGTGGGTAAAAGCTGTGACTGTACGTCTGGAATGTCCCCATGTCTATCTGTCATTACAGTCTCCCATTTGGTCAACTAGGGGAGTGTCCACCAAGTGGGAGACCTGCATAAATACGGGCAGGTAGCCCACAGTAAAGCCAGATCCTGTTTGACCTTCAATGCGGAGCTTCTGTCTCGTTATTGGGGGGATTTATTAATTGCGTTTAGAGACTGTTGATTGGAACCGAAAGCCGCTTGGTGGATATCGTTGTTCGGCGGCTAGCAGCAGTTCGTGGAGTTCCGTTCGGGAGGTTGGAGCCTTTCACGGATCCCGGTCGGGAGATTACCGCTTCCCCTGGTTATGGTTCGTGTACTACACATTGATGCGACTGGATTACTGATATTGCGAAAGGGGAAGGTGAACTAAACGGCGGTTTCTCTTAAAGACACCCGGGGTGTCTTAACATAGGGGATTTATCTGAATTCCATAGAAGGGATTTATAACATACTTTCTATGCATAACAGTGGCATCACACACAAAACATATTCAAGGGCTTAAAAGGTTACAGACATATTGGACCAAAAACATTTATTAAAACATAGTCCATATTCAGTGTAATATGAGCCATTTTTTCTGATCTAAATCCATATATAGAGATACAGACACAACAATCAATGGGGATGATATGAAGGGTAAAATGATATAACAATATAGCTGTATTAATATATTGCTCAAATGCCTAATAATGTATATAAACTTTTGATTACATAATATATCTGTTTGCAGGGAATATAAGGCTTAAAAAACTTTTTTTCCACTGAAAATCAAATTCCCAGTTTTGATATGGAATGGCTGCCTATTTCTTGTATTTAAAATCTTATGGTAACTTGATTTTTAATTTGGGCATAGTGCAGCAATTGGGAGAGAGGAGAACAATTTAGGGCACAAAAGGGCTGCTTTATTAAAAGTGTGTCATAAATGTCTTGTGAATAATAATGTTTAAGGTACAATTCCATACATTTTAATATTATATATAGGCATGTTTGCATACATTGTTGATCAAACATGTGCCTTTCATTGTAGTGCATGCTAATCATTTATTAATAGGTATATATATGTTTATTATTCCAAGTTATTATTTTAAAATAGCTTTTTAGGTTTGCACCAAAAGCATGATGCAATAGAAAAGCCAGTAATATGATGCAATTCCCCTAATGCTCCTGGTATCCAGTGCTTGGCTTGTGAGCTATCTTGAAGAAAATAGAACATACAATATTTAATGGAATAAAATATAAATAATGAAGTAATTCAACAATATTCAACATTTTTGTGTTTTTTTATTTTGTAAGGAAATTAGATAACACAGTTGTCACGGGGTCATACTCAAACTTACAGGAATGATGAATCCCACAAACAGAGGTACTAGATAGACGTATTACCGGGCCTTAGAGTTGCTAGACTTAACGTAAGAAAGATAAAAACAAAATCGGTAGGAACCAATTCAGGAGTAT